TATTATTTGCTTATTAATCACAGATATGAGTTTAGTAGTAAACACTCACTTTAACTCTATATGCATCTATTCTTTTATATGTATTTGATCTATGTATTTATCGATTTATTTAATTTTTTTTTGAGGTTTTTATCTTCTAGTACTGAAATATTAGAATTAAAATAACTACCTTGACTTGTTGTAGCAAACTTATTTATGTAAGATAAAAAATTAAAGTTATTTTTATAGTAGTCATTTATTATAATATTAGTATGCTCTAATGCTAATATTATTTAGGTTTTATTAGCAAGATGATATAGTGTTATTTACTTAATAGAACTAAAAGCAAACATATTTGACAAATATGATAGAAGTTCTTCTTCAGATTATAAATAAATTTTGTTATTCAAGCAAAATTCTATCAGATGTTACTGCTATTTGGGAAAGATAATCTAATTTAGCTCTAACAGATAACTTTGAGTTCATTAAAGTCTAGTAAATATAAAAATAATTATTATATAGTAGAATTAAAATTAGCAAATTCATAAACATAAATACTTATTTCTCATAGTCTACTTAATTTTCTTTAAATTATCTATTTAGTTGTATAAATTATATTATTCAAGCAAAAATTCTCCTAGTATTACTATAGAATTAAAATTAGCAAACCATACAGTACTTATTTACCACAGCCTAATTCTACTTATTTTTTACATATAAAATAAATTTATAAAATTTGCTAACTTTTCTAAATTTTTCAAATTCCTTCCATTTACTAGATTTTTCAAATTTCCTGAATTTTTCAACTTTTTTGATTTTTCTAGTTTTTTTAATTTAATTATTTTATCTTTGTGAAAATTTTGAAATTTACAAATTTTAACAAATTTTGCAAATTTGTTAATAATCATTTTTCCAGGCTAGGCGCAATATTGGTGTGGGTAATTTCATTCATTACAATATACATACAAAAAATCTATAAGTAATCAGGTTACAATCAGGTACATATGTACAAAAATTTATAAGTAATTAGGTTACAATCAGGTACAAATTTATAAGTAAAATTCATAAGCGATTAAATAAGCAATTTATTATTATTATCAGAATTAAAATTTCTGATCAAAAAATTACTTTTATTCTCAATAATCATGCTATATCATATAAATGATTGGCTCAAATTTTATTTAACCTAATCACTCACGTTAACTAATCATGAAATTGGAGATTTTCACTCATATAATCAGGCATACTGAATAATTTATCATGAAGACAATCAAGCCACATATTGCAATTTTTATAATCTATAGATATTAATATTAAAATTTCTATTTTTCATATAGTTACATCTTTTGCAAAGCGATAATTACAATTATTGCATTATTAATTGTATTGAGATCTATATAGGAAGAAATTTAATTGCAATTAATTTTTTAGTATTCTCACAAATTGTGGTATTATTTGGCTAGTGAGTATAAGATAATTAAACTATTTAGTTACTGTAGTACATTAACCTAATGCATATTTTCGAATATTTGAAAATATAAACTGTATTATATCTACTAATTAAGGTTCTGCAGCCTAGCAAAAAATTTTCAGGCCTATGCACTTATATGTCTATAGGCACTACATAGCATTTGGCATCATGCCTAATAGGCACTTGCAGAACCAAAATTGCAAAAAAATTTAAAATAAAACTTGTTTAAACAATCATAATTACTAAATTAATATCGATATCAATATAACTAATTTATAATTGTATTTAAAACAGGTTTAAATTGCAATTAAAATCTGATATTGAATAAAATTGCATTATTATTATAATTGTTTTTTGTTATGATATATATTTGTTTTTATTATTTAGGATTGTTGCTATAATTTTTTTTAAAAAATAAATAATTATAAGCATCTATTCTTTGATAGTATATTTGCTAAAACTCATAAAGAATTAGAAACTTTTAATAATGAGTTAGAAAAACTTTACGAAATGTATCAAACAAATTATAATTCTGATGATGAATTAGATAAAGATTGTAATGATTTTATTAAAAGTCAAAGCTCACCTTATTCTTCTCAACTTAAAACCTTTGAAGTAGATAATGTGAAGATTGTTTTTTTTTTTTTAATATTAATGGTGAGGCCATGCCTCTATCTTTATTGAATATTTAATTGAGATTTTACATGA